GTTTGATGAAAAAGACATAATAATAATCTTTAAAAACATTATTATATAGGTGATTTAGTACTAAAAAAAAGGCTTAGTCTAATGCATACATTCAAGACAAATCCAAAGACGGAACGGGTAAAATCAGGACTTCGTTTGACCTAAAAAATGTAAAATAATATCAGTTTTCCGTAAAGGAAACTGCTTCACAAATCAGTTATTATTTTTTTAAATCCATTGTAAGTATTATATTTTAAGATAATAGTGATCCTAAAGGTTTTTGGAGGTAAACACTTTATAAGTCACATATTTTAGCGGTAAAAGATTAGGTATTTAATAATTTATACTCTCGACTGTCGGCACTTGGTGGAACTTGTTGCAATACATTATGAAATCAAACTCCCTTGTACTTATATTCCTCTATATAATTTAATTTAACTTCAAATTCTATTAATATTCGTTTGTGATTAATATATAAATAGAATTTGAGGTACTAAAATTTCCCAAATTTCAGGGTAAATTCCTTACACTGACTTCCTGTTATTTCTGTTTACCCACAAGTGATATGTGTTAGACCTAAGTTTTAAAAACCTTAGCTAACCTAATTTAGTAACATTTGATAATATCAAAAGGCGAAACAGTTCTGTCAAATTAAATTTAATTGTGGAATATATACGAGTATACCCGTCAGTACAAGTGAGTTTCATTTCAAAATGTAAGACTGGATATGAAATTCGTTTATGATATTAAGGTAATATTAAGGCAATTTTAAGAAAAAAATAATTAAAAACACATTACTTAAGAATACAACAGATTTCTTACATACTGCGCCACCAGACTTTTAGGTACTTTAAGCCGAGAAAGATCCGCAATTATACAGAACCAGCGTAGCTCCGACCGCGTATATGTCAGTTACAGCGGTAAAAAGTTGCCTATGTCTTTCCTCAAGAATCAAACTATCTCCATACCAAAATTTCATCTAAATCGGCTCAGCGATTTAAGCTTAAAGAAGTAACAGACAAATGCCCGCGTGTATGTCGGTTATCGCGGTTAAATGTAGCCTAAGTTACTCGATAATGTTGCTTTCCATTTTCCATTTTAAAATCGGTTAAGTAGTTTAAGCGTGAAAGCGTAACAAACTAATAAGCAAACAAACTCACTTTCACATTTATAATAAAAATATGGAAATATGTATGTGGTCTGAGGCTTCCCGGGAACAGCCAGCTTAACAGTACAGTTGCATGTATGTAACCCAGGGATTTCCTTTCTAGGGTAAACCTTTGCGTCAATGCTCAATATTTAAAATCCAAACTGAAATGCTTGGTTGACAAAAATATTCGTAGACGGACATCGTATTACATTAATGGAACCAAATCATTTCAGCAATACTAGGTTGCTTAATGTGCTTTCAGGGATACAGGCGTCAATATATTATTTATGAACGTATGTTCTAGTTTGTCAACTAAATACATGACACTAAAAACTTTAAATTGATAAAAATAGGCTAGCTAGTTATTATTTAGGTAACTAAATATTTCTTCATTGGAATGTAAATTTAGTCCGCGTGAGCTTCGAGTCGATCATTCATTTTCAGTTCCCACCTGGGCCACGGGAAATTACGATGTCACCCTCGTTGAATGCGAATTGAGCTTACAACACATTTTGTCTCTTGGAATAATTTTATTTGTCATAACATGTGTCATACAAAATGTACGATGTTCTGTTTTAATTCTTAACTTTGTTCCTGTATTAAATTTTCTATCAAATCTATCTGCACTATCTACATCCAAACCAGGTACTTACCAGAATCCGAATATATTTCATACTATAGAAAGCTATATACTCAGAAAATTGTTGGATGTGAATAAACTCATAACAGTATCAGTTGATAGGTATTCACTACGAATTATAAAATAAGGTAGCCCGTCGCGTCTGTCTGTCTTTCTGTCTGTCAGTCAGAACGTGATAAAAGCCAAGCACCCAACGGATTTCATATAGTCTTGGATGGTTTAGGTGTAGAATTCATTATCATTTAATAGGAATTCCCAGATATATGATGAGGATTATTGAAGACGTTAAAGTAATCATGTCATGTGAGAGCTTTATCTGCGTGCGCAAATCAATAGAGTTAAAGGTAAACAATGTGTTACGGAATTTTTCTTCTTAAAAATATCTATTTTCTCTCTCCCTTCTTTTAGGGTTTCGTATTAAGTTTATTTTTAAACTTATATATTACCCGTCATCATTATCATCGTCATTTACTTGCCTTTTTCAAGCGACTTCAAAGAGGAGGAGATTATCAATTTGAATGTAATTTTTTTTTTGGGTATCGGGCATAACTACATCATACATATAGACGCATTTTCAAAATTATTTTTTTGTTCGAAAGGTGTTAATTCCGAAATCGTCCCATTTAAATTTCATATAGATCTGACTATGAGTTTCGGAGACAGACAAAGGACCTATTTAAAAAAAAACAGTTCATAATTGACGGAGTAATCGGTGAACATACATAAAAACAAAAAATACATACAGTGGAACATAGAACCTCCTTTTTTTGAAGTGGGTTAATGACAGCAAATCAACCGCGATTGCTGCTAAGTTTTTAGTGATCTTTGTTGTCGGTATTGTTTGAAGTCGGTTCAAGGTTTTTTAAAAAGTATTTATAGAAAATTATCCCATTTTTATTTAAGGATCGGCCTAATCTGTAAGATTGCAAAGAGTTTTCTGATTACTTTAATAGCCGTATATTTACCTGATACTATCTCTCCTTGTGAATGTATTAAAAAGGTTTCGAAAAAGGACTAAGTAAGAAGGTAAGGGTAAAGAATATAGATAGGGCGAGGGCAATGGGGTAAGGAAAACCGCGAGTCTAACGGGACAGCATAAGCTTGAAAAGGTCAAGGTCATATACCTACTGTACGTCGATCCTGGGATTAGAAAGGCCGGGACATCAACAGCTCATTCAATTTAATTTATTATATTAGAAGTAGTCAAAATGAATATAAAATATACTTATCGAAACAAAAAACTTTTCATGTATATTTATAATTATATTTCAAGAACACACTTCTGTTAAAATCACATCAATCTATACTAATGTTGTAAAGCTGCAGAGTTTGTTTGTACTATAGTAATGTGGAGCAGTATGTGTACTTACGGGTGAATATAAATAAAAGTCAATATCCACTTACTGTTATAATTTATACACACAACAACACGATATACTATTTAAAAGACAGAAGGAGTACAAGCAAGAGACACACAATATACACAACGCGACACAGAATATACTGTCCATTCACAACACTTTATACTATTTAAAACTTAATTAAATAAAGATGGCATGTCAACAATAACCGAGAACGCGCAGGCTGTAAGGGGGACCAACTAACTTAACGTACTTACTATACGATCGTTCTGGAGCGACCCACATCACTCAACACTAAAATGTAAAAAATCATAAGTGCCGTGAATATCTTGAGTAGTGTTAAGAAGTAATAAATAACTATTTCCAAACCTTAAGTGTTCAGATAACTGTGATAAATGACTGTGAAGCTCGTCGTGGGTTCGATTCCCACTTAGAACGAATACGAGTGTTGTGTGAAATTATTTTTATGATAGTGTAATTGCGTTTATGCTTATGTTGTTTTGTGTGCCTATGATAAATGTTACGTGGTAGGTGTGAGCCCTACAGTACGAACGCGCTAATCTCCGGAACTACTGATCCGATTCGAATAATTCTTTCAGTGTTAGATAGCCCATTTATCGAGGAAGGCTATATAATATTATACTACGACCAATAGGAGCGGCTTATCAATAAAAAGTGTTGCAACAACAGAGGAAAATTGTTCCTTTTAAGAGCTTCCGTTGCGTGCGCTGAGTTAACGAGTAAAGTTCCGCAAAAGTCATGAAGGAATGACAGAATTGTTCCTCTTTAAAAGTAAAAAAAAAAGTGAAGGTCTGCCTTTTAGGGTTGGCTCACTATAATGTTTTTATGGTAATTAAATTTGTTCTAAAATAATACCTACATTATTTGGAAAGGTGTTTTTGGGTTGGTTAATAAATATAATATTCATAAAATTTGCCGTTCATTTATGATGTGCAAGGCGGGCGAGATACCATACCATGTTTTGCGATGTATAATATTGTAACTCTCTTTAAATAAATAAGATAGTAATAAGTTTTGTTTCGGGTTCACGTTTTTTTCTTTTTATAAAATTTATTCCTCTTGAGAGTCCCAGACAAAGTTGCGCGGATCAGCTAGTACAATATAAGTAGTACACAAACGCTTTGTAGTTAAATGAAAAATGAAATACCAACATTATTACATTTCTGTCACATTGTACTCTCTGTCTTGTTATACAGAATATTATCATAAGGCAATTTTACACATAAGCCAGCCTCAATACAGAACATATGGTACGTAGATTATTCTTCTTAATTCCAAGGAATTATCTTGCTCCATCTGTTACATGAGTCCAATATGTTTTCATGCGATCTCCCAACAAAAACTTGATAAAAATGGCTCCTACAATAGTGAAATAAATCACAGTGGATGGATCCAGCCTATCCATCATCGGGTCGCCGATGACGTAGGGCAAGCCGTGGAAATATTAGGAGCTTAATATGAAAAGATTATACTAAAAGCTTTGTCTTCGTATAATTTATTTTGAACATATTACAAATCACAACACACATCGTATTAGAGAAAAATATGATGTCACATTAAGTTTAATTCTATAAGATTTGTTAAACTTGAAAAATCCATTGAAAGAAATACTTTTAATCTTGGTAAACTAATAGACAATTTCTTTGTAATCGAACTTTACTCATAAATATAAAAGAAATAATGAAATTTGATCAAGATCTTTTGTATTTACTATGGTGCGAGCTTATTTGCTAAATCGTTCCTTCATGCTTATGTGGATTTAAACTAAGTACACTTTTTGGATTGTTATAAAGATACTTTTATATAAAAAGCACTCATGTATTACGATGCAAGTTTTTATTGTTCGAACATGCATGTATGTGTTCAAACAAGGTTTATATCAAATATGCATAGGGTAATCAAATCACAATTTGTTAGAATCCTCTGATGATAGTGCATCATTTTGATACTAGACGTGTCTTACCGCATTGTTAATCACCAAGTTCCAGTAACCTATATTGTGTCTATGGTTCAATCTAACGTGTCAACTTCAAGTTAAATATAGTGAAATGGTACGGTTGACGGTGTCATCCGTCAGTATTATGTGCGTTACATTCAATTAAAAATTCAGAAAACCCTAACATACTATGCGCTCTGTTTTCGCTTACAAAAAATATTCGCAATATTTTAAAAATGTAAAAAGGATTGCTTGGTAGGTACGGTATACTCCCATTTACTTGACATAATTTCAACAAGGATCCCGTTACTGCTCAAGTGCGTGGAATAATTGTGTAAGGAAGGATATGATACGAAGACGGTGTATAAAAATATTTAGTGTCCAGAATCGAGAAAGGAGTGTTGTAATAATTTGATCATGTTCAAACGATGAGTGAAGAATGTCTGAACTGATTTTAAAGCTAAGTTCGCAACTAGGCCCGAGATACTTCCACTGCGCATTATGTAAGAATAAAAACATGGCATCACCACTGAAAAAGAGCGAAGTAAAAGGCACCCTTGAACACCGAGCATGTATCGAGGTCTGACGAATATGTTAGGGGCAAACTTTAAGTCATAATCGTGGCAAATGGTACTCCAACGTCTCTTCTACTATTACATAAGCCTATTAACGCATAATCCTCCGGGTATATGTATGTATGTAAATGAAATATATACGTACATACCTTCGTTAAAAAAATATATATAACTTTTAATTATATATTACCCTTAAGTCACAAATAATAAAATATGAATGATCACATTATTTTCAGGTACATTTATTATACTTTTTAATTTCATGGCTACCAATGAACGCACACAACGAAGCAATATTTGACTGTTTAGAAGACTACATGGACGAGTTGATTGAAAATTTCGAGGATTTCGCGAAGAAGTCTCTTGTGTTAATAACCGCGGCTCTGGGTAGTATTGTACTCATGGCCATGTACTTCCTGAGAAAAGTAACATCTCGCAACAATCCGAACATAAACATTCGTAGAGGTAATCTTGAAAAAAGTCTTACTTGCTAAGTTACCCACTCTCCTCAGACCTGGTTTCAAAAACAATGTTGAAGGCATAAGTCTCATCATAAAGCTTGTGACGACTTCCGCATATAATGAAACAAAAACATACTTCAGTGACATCTAACGAAGATACACCGAACTATCCGTAGTTCGGTGTATCGTAATTACTTCGATAACTACTTATCCTGCAATGAATGTTCTCATCAACAAGACAATTAACACATCAACCGTGGGACCGTGGTCTCCCAAAAATGATCACCTCGGCTGGTCAAAGGATCCTTTCTTTGTGTTAGATGGACATGATACCCATTCCTCCACAAGCTCTTTGACTTAATTCTTTAGGGACATAATAATTTATTATATATATATATACGAGTCATCGAGATATAAACGAGTATTTATATTATTACAGCCTATTATATATACCAGCTCAGTTCTGTTACTGCATCTGCGTATAATACACAGATAATTACGTTTTGTAGTTTAAATGTCCTTAAATTTATTTTGTTATTGGATTGGAGTTTAAAAACATGGCATCACCAAAAGCGAGGAGACGCATATGATTTCGTAATTGGTTATGATATTTCAGGCTTACAATATTTCTAATTGAGAAGTTTAGTTACAATACATCTTAAATTTTGACTCTGATATAAATTATAACAACAATAATATGCACAGCATAGTGCTATGTGATATTTCTATTAATAGTCGTAAGTAGAAACTAATCATAAGAACAGACTATAAAATAGAACATAACCTTCAGTAAAAATATTTGCAATAAATGAGAATATAACCTAAGACTCCCTATATGGCAATCAAATCTATAGTTATCGCTACACATAATTCTGCTTCCATAATGAGTTAGTATTATAAAGTGAGCTAAATAGTACGTATATAGTAGGTACCTAATACGTGCGGCAGTAGGATAAATAAACATCTAAGAAACAGCATCTTGTACCGGGAGTAAATATTAGGCTTCAAGAACTTTAAATCTGTACAAACCGAGTACGAACTCCTCTATTTTATGCCTTGTTTATGGAGGACCTTTCTACACGTAAAATATTAACCTTTTGGAATTTAAATTATTACAACCAAGACTTACCAGACGCAGGTACACTGAGTCTTTATCTTTAGATAAGTTAGAAACTAGACGAATGGCTGCCGTAAAGGTGAATCCTCCAACTTACAGCAGTAATAAGATTTGTAAATTAGGATAAGACTTTCGTCTAGAAGTTTTCGCATTAACTTACCCGTGGGTCTATTAAAAACGTAACTCGGATATCTCAACGTGCTTGCGATGTCTTCGTCCATTTGAAGATGGTTTCCATGTTTTCTAATGTTCGATCAAACTTTTTATAAACATTAACATATACATAACTTAAGTCTTTCATAATTTCATGTTATATGATGAGCGTTATGTCGACTAGTGATTTCTCTACAAATACAGAGTTGTAAACCAAGCAATAAAATATAAAGCAATTTAAAAGTTAGAAGTTCAGTTAAAAGTTAAGTATTAAAACAATTATTTTATTGCTGACTGACGCCACAATTCTATAAAAAGAGCAGGAACTCACTAAAAATTAACCATTCCAGTAATAGCTATTTTAAAAATTTAAGTGCTCAATATATGCTAAACTGATACATAAATGAAACGATGAAAATAAAAACGTAAATAAAACACTGGGGGTGTATCATTTAAAGTTAAGTCTATTGGAACGTTATAAAGTACTAAGTCGTAGAAACATAGAAAATACACATAACCATCAGTATATTTCTCATATTACGAAATTCCAAAATGTATGTTCCTACTTCATTTTATTTTGCTTAGTACTTTTTGCCGTCAGATTAACTTTGGGAATCCGTAAGACACCGATTTCTTTGAATATTTGCCCTTTTTGTCAACCTGTAGCTATCAATGGTTTTTTAAAAGCCCTTGTTACATGTTTGTTCGTATAAGTATACAAAAGTGTTAATAATATCTAATTCATGTTCAATAGAAATTTTAATAATTCAAAGACCGAAAATTTATTTTAGCCTTTTATTTCAAATAGTATTTGGCTTATTTCGTATATTTATTCATGTAATTATTTATGCGTTACTATTACATGACTCCTGAACACGCTTACCATTATAACATGTAGAATACTGTAGTCTAATCCCTGGCTCAAGCTCTTTATAATAGCAGTCAGTCCATAATGGTATTTGATCATCTACCTTTGTTCTTCTTTCAGATAAATGTGAGAGTAAATCATGCTGTAGGCCAAAAGAACTCGCTCTAAAGTGTAGTACCTCAAAGAAATGCAAAAAAGAAAAGAGCTCATGTAACAGACGAATGCTAATGTGCAACAAGAAGACATGTTCAGTCCAAGAGACTATGGATGACAGTATTAAAAGTAGTAGGTCGAGTTCAGAAGAAAAGCTTATAAGAGAAGTAAAACTGTCTGCTTGTTCAAAGGTAACAACTTTTTCCTAGATTAAATTCATGTACTTAGTTAGTTCATTAATACAAAATTAATCATATAATTGTGTTTGAATGAATAACAATTCGTAGTAATCCAAAGAAAGAAGAATAAGAAATAAACAACACAATAATCAAAAACTAATTAATTAGATTTTACAATATGTCATGCAGAATATAAAAAAAGAAACGATAAAATTAGGCATATCGTGATATAATAACACTTTTTTGAGTTTTGAGAATTTTATTGCATATATTATTATTGATAAATTCATTGATGGAATAATATAGGTCTTTCTTTACCTATGAGATTTTTAAAACCAGCGTTTTAGGTTTAATTATTTGTGAATTTTCAAATAAATATTTTTCGAAAGCCATGTTATTTTAATTTCAAATTTAGTCTTTTTTTAGATAAGTAGGTGTTTTATTTTTGTAAAATTTTGATAGTTTTTGGCGCCATGGATAAACTGAAAATTAATTTTCTTCTATGAGTTCCTACGTGGAAATACCGCTGCGCAAACGAGACTAAACATTAACGACGTGTACGGGCTTAACACTGCTTGCATAAACACGGTCCTATATTTGTTCAATCAATTTAGATCTGAAAAATCTGAGTTGAACAACGACGAATTGAAGGCGATAATGAAAGCGGATCCGACTCAAAATAACATTGAAGCACTTACGTCACATTGGAAAGATAAAAAGCTAGATAAGTGGATGCCACACGAACTAAACGACCATCAGCGATTACCCGTCGAAACATGCATAGCACTATTGACCGGGCATAGAAACGAGGGAATTCTAAATAGTGTTCCCTGCGATGAAAAGTGGATAGTTCTTATTGCTATATTATATGCGTAACTATTGTCCCACAGTTGTATACTATATATCAATCAACCTTGACTGTATCAGTATCATGGTAAACGGATTTTAGGATATCTGTTCCTACTTCTTCTCTAATCTTAATTGTATAGCCCGCTGAACAAATTGAGGCGTCAATAGCTGTTATCACTTCTTGCCAATTGAGTAATAAGTATCCCTAAAGTAATATGTTCTCCTAAAAATTGAACAGAATTTAACAGTTCTCATTTTTCTCCATTGATCATACTATCTAATCTATCGTATCTAGTTGTTGATTTAAATAAGAATATGTTTGTCTTGTTTATGTTAACTATAAGTATGTTAGCTACATCCATCTTAAAACAGTTTCCAGTGCTTCAATTTTTTAAATTGAAATAATTTAGATTACTTGCACTTATTACAACGTGTGTGTCATCTGCAAAAACCTGGGTTTAACTTCGGTTTTTAACGCTTATTTGGTTTAGTAAGTCATTTGTAAAAAGTATCAACGAAACAGGCTATTTATTTATTTTTTTATTATTCAGATGGCTAGTGAAACGATTGATATTAGCTTTTCAAATATTTCGAGAGTGTAGGTAACACCGAGATCGGTCTGTAATTCTTAAGGTCAGTATCTAGGCACACTTGGACAATGATACAGTCTTGGCTATTTTCACAATTGCTTTGGGAAAATGCTGTTTTTAAAACATTAATTATAAACTTGTTTTGATTAGAATATAAAATAGAGTATCCAATGTCAAAATAAATATTTTTTCCAGACCTTTCCTTCTTGCGACCAAAATGGAACAAAGAATACTGAGTCGAACTCCAGGTAAGTATAGAACTTTGATGCTTGCTAATAAGCCCAGTAGCTTAAATTTGTATGTTCTCCGACGTATTCAACCTTCAAAATAAAAAATAAATTACTGTTAGTTAAATAAACAATGACAGAATGTCCAAAGTTATTTAAAGAAATGTTAATAATAAAAATTATTTTGAAATATAGCTTGAAAAATTGTAAAGCATATCAAGAAGATATTCAAATTAAATAAATAAATAACATGCAGTCAAAATTTGTTTAAAAGCCTAACTCCGAAACCATTCCGCAGAGTTACTCTGATATCAGCTAATCTCGAAGAAATGCAAACACAGACGGCCCCTAAAGATCAGCCACTCACTAAACCAACCTTTACTCCCGGGTGCTTACCAAAACGTATGTATTGATAAGGATATAAGTTTTTATTAAATCTAAACTGGTAGTTAAATTTCGACTTGAACTTTCATTGTGTAGTCTAGCCGTTATCGATGTAGCCATATTCATATAATTTTTAAAATACCCTGTTTAAAAGTTAAAAGATGAAATTTAATCTGCCATGGTCATTTTTACTTAAAAGTTTTCATGATACATTCATCATATTTATTATGTTTATTCCCGATCATGAACACTTATAAACTAGTTTATCCTTATCATGGCGCTTATAATAGTGCGGAAATATTGTAAACTAATTCCGGAAAATAAAGGAGAATGCCCATTCATGGTTTCACCTTTAGACGTTCACGTTATTATTTAAAAATTGAAAAAAAAAACATACTGATTTTAACGTTACTTTTCGACTTTGAATCTCTTTTATAGCTATATATATAACTTGAATCAATGACCGTTCATTTTAATATAAATGTTGCTATTATATAAAATAAACCCTTAATGGTTGAATGCAAATAAACATCGTTTTAAAATAATAATTTACATTGATAATAATTCGTAATTTCACATTAAGAAATAGTTAGTAATCTTCTAATTTCTTGTATGTAGTCGTATTTTATTTCGTGAAAGTATAGTTAAGTGTTCGTTTTGCGTTAATTTATAGATGGTATCCCTGTCAAAAACACGATGCCACGCACCACAAGTTCTTTTACAATAGGTATACGTTAATATTTCAGACAATACTCAATGCAGGCTTAATAATGCAGTTTATACATATTTGGCACAGCAAAAAAAGTGTGAAACTGATTTTCATACTGAAATGGGTATTCTCTTTTAAGTATTACAGATTTCCCCCCGATTTTATTTCTATAACATTTTTTTTAAATTGCGTACACAGGGTTGTGTTCCCGTATAGATTATATAGTTTCATTTTATACACATTATACAGTCAGACAATGATATATATATATATATATATATATATATATATTATAAAAAGCAGGTATGAAAACAGTCTGAAATTCAACGTTCAAATTCTGCTTCCTTCTTCTTGCTTCAATGCAGTGTATTTTATACTATCTCGTTACATAAAAAAAGAAACTTAGGACTTATATGAGTACATATTCACACTATTTTTGTCTAACTTTCAGATCACTTGTCAAAGCCACGGCCATGTGCGAGATATATTGCTATTCGCAATTCCTGCTGCTCAATGTGCTGCTACGATGACGACAGGCGGTGATAACGGAGTAAAAATAGCTCATAAGCCCATCAAACAAAAAAATTAAGATTTCCACATATCTAGTTTTCGCTCTATTAATGCAGGTTCATTGACCGAGTCAATGATGAAAACGTGTCAAATTCATAGATCAAAAAGCACATCAAATTTCAGCCTTTTAAGATGTATTCAGCCCAATTGTTTATACATCAATAGCCTTTAATAGTCCACTGCTGGACATAAGCCTCTCCTTTTTAGTTAATTATGTTAGGACCCTATTGTGGCACTGTTTTTGTGGTCCAATAATGTTGCTAAGGTGCAAATAAGTTGATTTACAAATTAAAACAACTGTAAACGTTTATAAAGCTAAAGAAGCAAATATTGATAATTATGTTGAAAATTATTTCGATGTTAATGTAATTTTATTATAAAGTAACAGAGGTTTGGCGTGTTTATTCTGTTGTTGTTGAAAAGTCTGATTTCTCTACATTTAAATGGTAATGCTTTTAAATATACAAACTACAATGAAAGGAAAATAGCAGGCATGTATAGAATTTTTGTACCACCTTGCGTATCTCGTGGTAGGGATTATTTTTGTATTTAATTGGCAAGTACTGTCATTGACAGTTACAATTTTAACTATCAGATTTTTAGAACTTTGCGTTGCTGTCTACAAGGCTGTCACGAATGATTTGTTATTGATACGCAAGGTCGGGAAAAAACGTGGTGTTAACTAGTTGAGGAAGGTATTAAAATAAAAATCATTCGTTTACGATTTTCGTGATCTGTCAATAAAATGTTGCCCTGTCTCATCAGTTAAATTACTTATTTTTTTTTATAATGTTCACGATTGATGTTATCGATTTGACCAAAAATTATGAGTCCGTTACCTTAAAGTAGTTGATTTGAAATAATTATTTTCTTTACTACTTCATCTTATCCGTACAGTCAACATTAGTTTTAAAACATGGTTGTTTTAAATTGCTGAAATGCACTAGTAAGCTCATTCATAAGTATCGATTAAACCTCTTGGTTTTTATTTTACTTATATTTTATGCATGACAAGTTTAAAAAACGTAGGAATGTTGTCAACAACACTTGAACGTTAAGTTATTACAAAGTTCTAAATATATGAAAATTACATGAAAATAGGGTGATTTACTTTATAAACGTTACAAATCTCATAACCAGTTATTATATATTGCTAATAACATATTACTATATTAATATATTACTAGACCAAAACCTCCTTTCTTAGGAGAGGCCTATGTTCAGCAGTGGACTAGTAAAGGTTGTTGATGGGTGGATGGTGATGGAGGTGTATAGTATCTACCGTTATTTTTTCTAAAATTGATTACTAGACTTGACATATTTGAAACTTACCTGATACAGAGCTAAAGTAAATATTACTTTTAATACATTTGTTAGACCGTCTTTTCAAAGCAGATTTTTTTTTTTAAATATTTTTTTAATCAAAATATAAACACACCTGTAATATAGTAATATTTTGTGTACTAATATTTGTATATTGTTATGTTTCTATTCTATTCAACACATTTAATCTTATATTTTTGAGCAAATTTATGTTTGAATCGATTCTATTGCTGGTCCTAAATAAACAGTTTTCCTATTGACTGAAAGTAATTCATAAACTATGTTACTGTCGGAAGTAAAAAATCTATGAATTAAATAAATACCTCAAAATTTATAAAAAAAATATAACAAAGAAATTGTAAGTGATATGAAGTTATTCACAGTAAACGAATAACAAAATTGACGCGCATAGAATGTTATCAATGTATTTTTTTTTTTAATTTAGTTTTTGTACTACGTTATGAAATGTGTTAAATTATTATTCTGTCTCTATTGTAGTAACGTTTAAATAAATGATAAATTATAATTTGGTTATTTGTTCACCTATCGATTGAAAGAGCCCAAAAGTTTTGCTTAGTTTGTCTAGACCTACAAACTAAATCCGCCGGTGAGACACCGAAAATAAATATCTCGAACTAAGTGTAAAAGGTCTCCGTAGACTTGCTATAATAGTCTTTACAAGGCCCACTAGTAGCATCCTCAGACTAAATCCCTCCAAAGTCCAATTGCTCAATCTGTACATATTACTCACCAAAATCAACATTTAAATCTTACATGATACTTTGATTTAGGTGAAAAGGAGAGGAAAATTTGAACTAATCAACAATGTTAAAATTATTATTATTTAATCTCTAATATCAATTTTTTCTTACCAATTTAGTAGGCAATTACATTTTTGAACCGTTGGGGTCCGAGTGCTCGTACTATGTATAAGCAACTGATCGACACTTCTCGTGATCAGAAGGTCGGCCTTTTTCTAGCACAGAGAATTAGCATTGCTATTCAATGTGGCAATGCTGCCAGTCTTTTGGGAACGCTTCCAGTAGGCGATGATGCTAAGGAGTTTTTGAACCATGAACGTCTGCACTTTTCCTATTCTACTAACTATGGAAGAACAAGGGCCCCCGATGCCTTGTCACTGATATAAATATCGTCGATATCTTTGTAACAGTTTCGTAAACGGTACATTTTAAATTTGTAAGAAAATGATATATTTAATTTTCCAGGTATCATAAGTATCGGGCACGCCGTCATCGCGGCGGTAAGACCTGTTATGGAGGATTGGCTCGAGAGGCGTCACGGGACTCTCTCATACCGACTGACGCAGGTGATCACTGGGAAAGGATGTTTCGGGGATCACCACTGCGATGGCCAGACCGCTGACACGGCTCTCCACACGCTGACACAGTGCCCGGCGTGGGTTAAGCAGAGGCGAGACCTCGTGGCGGCCATCGGAGTGGGAGTTCTCTCGCTCGATAGCCTGATTGCGGCTATCGTGCGGAGCGAGAGTGCGTGGAACTCTGCCGTCTCCTTCTGCGAGCAAGTTATGCTCGCGAAGTAGACGGCGGAGCGGGACCGGGAGAGGTTTAGAACTCTCCCGGCCCGCCAGGCCCGGGAACGGGCTAGGTACCGCAGGCGACTCAGGCGCCGGAGGTCGCAGAACGTCGCAGAACGAACAGAACTCCGTCCTCCATAAGCGCAGGCCTGGGGGTGACAGGTGAGGCCACCTGTCACCCTAGCAGGAGCCGGCCGGGGTGGCGGCGAGCGCGCTCGCTTCCCGGGAGCAGAGGGAACATGGGGTTCCCACACGGGGGGTCGTCTACTCGTCTGTAGATGGCCCGAGGTATGTCGGGGCACCAGGGACTTTCTTTCTAGGGTATACCTGGTTCCCCGGCTATTAGTACCCGAGACGGCGTGCGGTTTTAGTTGGTTCGAGTCCGACATGCCACCGATAGTTGGTATCCGAGGGGATTTCCACACGGAAAAAGAAAAAAAAAGGTATCATAAGTATAAATAAAATAAAAAAGGGCTCTAAGCAGAAAAAAACCCTACTTGTTCGATAGATACTAGAATAAGTTATTTTGTGTAAAGGTTACTTCGGCCGATAGCCTCGGCCGCTATTAGTTTTAGACATTCACATATATATTAAAGTAACGTAAGCAAAATTCTTATTAAATACAAAACATAATATTCTAAGTCTACTAGAATCTCCAGGTAAATAGGGAAATCAAAATTCCGGTTATGTATTACCCGGAAAAGTAATAATAATGATAACCTCACACATCTCACACACTTCTGTCTGATTCCAAAATAGGCAGAGTCTGTGCTATCGTAACCAGACTGCTGATAAACATACTTTTATATTTCTAAACACTTAAATAAATAAAACTGAATTAATAGATCTTGGTGCTGATTCTTTTTTAATTATTAAATATTTAGTTTTTACTAATAAGTCATGTATATTTAAGAAATCGACGTTAAAATTGATTGATATCTACTACTTTCAAATCATTTGAAGTTCATCCAGAAGAATACTTTTTAAAAGTTTATTATTATTTAAGAGAAGGAAAACTTGAAACAAACCCTATACCAACCCGTCTGGCCAGCGTGGTATAGTAGGCCAAAACCTCCTTTCTAAGGAGAGGCCTATGTCCAGCAGTGGACTAGTATAGGCTGTTGATGATGATGATTATTATGATCACTTCTCAGCTTTTGTGGATTGCGATTATCATCTGTACATAAGTGAGGAGAATTTTTTATCATTGTTCTTATGTTAATGAGAAAAGATTCGCCTTCGAATGTCTTAATAAAACAATAGTGGTACAGTATATATTTTGAATTTTCATGATAGGAAAATCTATATAATAACAATTCAAGTTACAGTGGATACGAAATCAAACGGTCGAGATTCGACCATCAGGCGATCTCTACAATAGAAGTCATAATCTCTTAATGCTTTACTTTACTGGATTACTTATATTGTATATGGAACGGTAGAAGTGACAGTTGTTGTCAATTATAAATTACGAAAGTACGTAAGGCAATGTAAATTATATTGATGTGATTGAATAATAATAATAAAAAATACAAAATGCCGCAATCCTATCCAGGTATAGTAGTATTATCTTGGAAGTTACAAATTAAGAACATTGACCTCGTAGACCTTTATGGGTTTTGCTAAATTATATCCATGGTGACATACCAGAACTCAACAAAAGTCGTGTAACATAAAACTTATTGTTAGCACAAATGAACTCTTAAATATCAAACCATTAGTTACTATTATACTCAAGTATCTAATGGTATTGTATCCATCATTACAAATCCATATAAGGAAGTCATCACATATCATTCGTATTTATCGAGAACTAGAACAGGCGGGACTGCTTCACTCGCATAAAAGTAATTTTTTCGGTCAATTAAAACCATTTTTTCTTCGTGTCATTTTTTCTGCATGAAAGTTCCCCTATGACCTTTGTAGTATCCCTGACAATGTACAATACGCAAGGATTCGATATTAGTGTATTAGATCTAAGATACAAACAAACCGCATGTTTCATATCTCAACACTTCGATTCCTGGACTGACTCACTGACTGACTAACTCACTTTTCAAGACATCTTCAAGCTTAATCTAGTCTCCTTAATCTGACCCTCCTTAATCGGACCCTCAATCACACCCGTCAGTGTGTCAGTCAATCAGTGGAGAGGTTTCTCTAGTCGGAGTAAAAGGTAGGCCTTAAAATGACAAGAAGACAAGATTAAAGTCCATGTTGTGCCTTACCGACATGGAGGAGAGCTGGGGTACTGTAGCTTTTTCTGTAAAGCTGTAATGCTCTAGAAAGAACGGGATAGGGAAAGGGCCAATCTGATCGAATAACTAGGCCCGATGATCCGGAGGGGGGCACTAAAATAACTTGGTCCGGGCCTACATCAGAGTAGGGCGTCTAAGACCGGTCATCGGGGTGGCTTTTAGTGGTAACACCACATACACCTGGCTCCTGCGTCCCCGAGGAGCAGGAGATCCGAAAGTATTTTCCATTCCATCATCAACAAAAAAAAGGTCTATGTTGTGCTTACGGCCATTGTAGGTAAAAAGTTTTTATACGTATTTAACTAAAATTACGAATTAGGTAAGTCCAACTTCGACAGGAGTCAAATCTTTGAATAATAACCAAATGGGCCGCATTTGATGAATTCGTCAGTGATGACATCTTTTATTTCACCTCACTGTGAGTTTGATAAATGAGCCGAGTAGAAAAAGCTATGACCAGTGTATCTCTGCAAAAACTGTTCGCACTGAGTCTGAAACTTTATTGCTGTTTAGTTGTTTCGGACAAAGAAGTACATAATTTGGAAATAAATAAAAAATAGTTGCGTCCGAAGCGACTGAGACGGCTAGGTATATTATATAATACTAACTTTTGCCCGCGGCTCCGTCTGCGTGTATGTCAGTTATCGCGGTATAAAGTAGCCTATGTTAATTGCTGATTATGAAGATTTCTATTGGTTAATGAATTTTTAAAATCGTTTTAATGGTTTAGGCGTAAATGAATAACAAATATACTCAATTTCAAATTTATAATATAGGTAAGTATAGAAGTATGGACAGTAGAAAGGGTCTAATTTTTAGAACTTATTTTATCTTTCTAACTTTCACTCACTTACAATATATTTTATATATTACAAAACTTTACAAATAAACTGCTATTTTTAAAAGACAGAATAAAGTTTTATTTTAATTTTCAGGAACCTACATGAGAGCCCACACGAAACCGTTAGTTGGAACCTGTCCTATTACGTTTCCATCCATGGTCCATGTCCCTGCCTGTTTGAGCAACCACAATGGAATATTAAGAAATTTCTTATCGAACTGGAATACACTGACAAGAATTCAAATGGTTGCAGTTCCTACCCTTCTGGCATTAGCGTTTACTTTTTACTATCTAGATTCTTTGGAAAAACAAGAAGTATTCCAGAAGGAGGAAAGTTTTTTTGACCAGGTAACAACAAAGTTTATTTTTAAATGTTATGAACTTATTTAAAAGATACAAGTAAAGAAATCTTAGCTAAATCATTTAAAGATGATGATGTCTCCCGCGACGTATCCGTAGAACTTTGCTATGAATTTCTGATTTTTTATCAGGCAATCTGCCTCGACGCTAAAGAGTATTGAAGCTTCCCGCTGGATTTTAAAAACAAGACCATTACCTGTATATAACTTACATCTAAAATAGCTTATTTGACCATCATTATATGTTATGACTGTGACAAAACTAATTTTGTATGTTTCGCAATTCTATTTACTACCTACTCTAAATTTCAGATCTTAGGCTACTTAGACGTGTTTCAGTTTTTCATCTTCTTTCATTTCTGAGCTTAGAAATTAAATGAGTTCAATATCAGCAATAAAACGGTCCTCTTTATTTCTATTTAATGTTTATTTAACAAACTTTACTGAACTATGGACTAAATATTTTTGATTGTTCTGATGTGAACATCGACAAAAAACCGTTATATTTACCGTTTATGAACCGTTATGTGATCAGACTAATATTTTTTATAAAAGCAGAAGCATACAATCACAAAAGCTAGGACTCTGTTAAACATTTTTCTTATATCAGATGTTTCAGTTCTCCTGTAATTGCGATGAGGATATTGCCTGAAGTTTATCAATATTGACTTATCCACTGTGTGCTGTTTGGTGACAAAACCCCGGATTATATTGCAGAAACAGGCGCACATGCATAATATTTTACTCCTGAAGTCTTTGAATTTACTTTGTGAGGAATGAGTATCTAAAGTATCTTCGTCATTTGTACACGTGATACGTGGAATTAGTTGTCAGTTAAAGTATGTTTTAGTTTGTGTACCGTTCAAATATAAAGACTAGTAAATATAAACTGTTTTTTTTTTATTTCTTTGAAACCAACTTCAATGACATTATAGATAACTTGCTTCTGGCTAGAGGACGAACTTGTACCTAGTTAAAAATCCTAGTTAAAAAATGTATAAAATACCTAAATTTTACATAAATTATTGGAAGATAATGTAGGGACGATATAGAGAGATTCTCATTTATCAAGAAATTTGATAATGTAAAAATTATACTCTTATTTCTCCTCACAAGAGAGAAGCAGAATTTGCCCCCCTTTCTCAGTTAGCAGAGTGAGAGCTGGTAGATGCCCTCATCATTAAAAATCTGCTTGCTTTCACCATAAAGTAACAATGTAGAGATCAGAGATGCGATAGGTTTTTAGTCAGACTATTACAAATTTACTTCACCTTGTCTACATTAGTGAGGTACCAACAGGTGACTGCAGGAATGGCGTAGCGGTTTAAGCGGAAATCTCGCCGCTTCCTACTGCACTCAGTGTTGTCAGTCGATCCCCACACGGGACAACAATGTGTTATCAACAAACGATTGTTCTGAATCTGGGTGTTCTTTGTGTACGTGTGTACGTTCCATGAATGTTTTTACAGTTCTCCGCGATACAGGACTTATTCTTAGTGTGGGTGTTGTCTTTAAAAAAAAACTAAACTAAAATAGCTATTTGCCACACTTTCAAATACGTGTTTAGTCCCTTTTTCGCTTTTCATCTAATCTTTTTTGAAAAGTGGTCTTATTACGCCGATTCACACAAATGAAATGTATGTAAATGAAACGTTAATAACATTATTTCAATCCGCACCGGTACGGTAAAATCTATGTTAAAATATTGTAGAATTCTGCGATATATCAAGAGAAAAATATCAGAATTTGACCAATGACGTCAATGGAGTTCTTTCACAATTAAAAACATATTTTTTACTCTTTGGTTTGCAATGTCAAATATTTATCAGCGAATTTAATGTAAGTTATAAAAATAAACTAGAAAAAAAGCAAAATAAAGATATGAATTACTAAGAAATGGGAAAGCGGGTTTATCCAGGTAAAGATTAAATAAATTTGTAAAACGTAAAGCCATTGCATTATTCATCAGTCAACAAAAGTGTTTTACAAACAACTTTTACTTTCAAAACATTTTATACTATTAAGACGTGAATGTGTACTATTTTATTAATACAGACAATTAATTTAGAAGCTGTTATGAGGTTTACATTCATAGAAATATTCTCATGAGATCAGGAATTTAATCCTTATAACACAAAGGGCATTTTCATCATTTTTTACCATTTCATACGAGAATGTACTATACATTCCATCAGGTTAATATTATGTATTAGTAAGTCAACAACCCCAACATTTAACATTTTTTTATCATTTTCTTATTGATAACAGCCAATATTCTATCGGAAACTGTTCAAAACTTCCTTGTAATTAGAATCACAAATGTCTTTCTTTTCTGGTTTTTGCAAAGAATTCCGTAAAGTACACTAATATAATAAATAAATAATGTAATAATCTATAATTCAGGGCTCTACATGCGTGCCCGAACAAAACCTTTGTTTAGTGCCTGTACCCACATAACGCTTGCATCGATAGCCGAGGCTCCCAACCATTGGGATTTCTACAGTAAGATGATGAGCAACTACGTGTCAACGTTTTATGCCACCATAAGCGGCAACTATGTGGTTATTGTCACTCTCCTGTTCGTGATGGTGCTAACTTTCCTTCTACCGGATATCTCAAATAAACTGCAAGCATCCCACGAGCTAAAGAATATGAAGGAACTTATGGGTAAAATGACGGTAAGAGAGCACGCTAATGTAATATACTTAGCACTCTTTTCCCAATAACACTTGGCTTCATATTTAAACAGTCACACTTAATGCTCACTTTGTGTTGTGTCCTTGCAGTTACAGTTAATATAGAGACCCTGACTACAGTACTAGGCTAAGACGCTGACAAATATTTTTATTATTATGTTAGTTGGACGACGAATGAAAAACGTGACGGTAGGGAACACACATATTTGAAATGGTTTAATGTGAACCTTGACAAGATTTCTAGAATAAGAAGTTTATAGAAAAAAATACTAGATCGTCCTTTAAAGACTGAATAAGGTAGTAAATACTGACTGACGAGATAATAATTGTTTCATCTCACCTCGATAGCTAATTGAAATTTTATAATGAAGTCAAACGCTATGTATAATCTTTAACTTCTTATAACCGACATCGGTTTCCAGTATCAATCATTTATAATGTTTCTCCTGAATCCTTTTAAAAATACCTCAAGAAATTTTTCGTGTTTGAGGGTGAGCTTAAAATATACAATAAGCTAACAGGAACTCAACGTCATTTTACTCGGTGGCATTTAGCGAACTCGGTGCACTTAAACTAAAAGTCACCTGGGTAGTAAGAATTAACATTACTATTTAATTTCTTCTAGTCCGAAGTGAAGCAAGCAGAAGTGGCATGCCTGGCTGTAGCTGATGAAATTTGTTGCATTCACTGCGCCATGAAAAAAAGCAACACGGAAACTGTTAGTATTAGGTCGATTGAAGGTTTTGGTTCTATTTAATTATAACAAACACTTACACTTAAAAATCACTTACTCTATAGTTATTTACAAATCTACTCTATATTCGTAAAGCATTCTACATGGAAGCATTTTAGGCCAATTTTCATAATAAGTCACGAGATAGGTTGTGTTTAAAAAAAAATTCAACGAATCTGATGTATCATAATACAATACTCTGCAAAGCCAAACCTGATATGTTACATAAAATTATATTTGCATAATTAAAAAGTACACAAGAAAAATATTAGTACCTGACCTGACTCTGAACATAATAAGTTATTATTAGTTGACGAGCAACCCAGATACTTTTATTCTTGATTTCTTTCTTTCTTCTATGTGTTTAATATTACTTCTAGAAGGAAAGTTTAAAGTTTTAACCACTTTGTTATTCAAGAAAATAAGTAATTAAAACATTGTTTTGTAAAATGCATACGTGTCATTAACAATTTACATTACAGCAAAAGCAAGTGCGAGACTTGTCAGTCTGCACCAGCCATTGCATGCAGACTACCCAGTCCGAGCCCGCCCGAACCGAAAAAGAAGTTGGTTTCATTCGAAGAATCTTCTTCCCCATTAAAAACACTTCAAACAAGGTTTAATATAATAATAAAATCCATATATTTACATTACGTATATATATTCTTCTAGAGTATTCGTAACCATGCCATACACTGTAAATTCCAGTTAAAATCGAAATTCAAATTCATCCTAAATCATGCAGACTTCGCGCAACCAAATTAGAACTGTTATTAGGACAGGAAAAAATAAGATATTTATTTATTGGAAGACCAAGAGCGGGAACAGTAGTAGGTGTATGATATAAAACATAAGGAAATGGAAACCTTTTCATCTCTCTCGACCGACTGAATCCATACAGCATCCTATCAAAATGGTGGTGGATACTGCAGGACCCTTAGCTTAATATGAAGGACGCCTCATACGTATAAATAATACCTATACTCCTACATCCTTAATTGTAACCGAAATGTATTCCATGTCATCATTTTAAAATACGTAATAAAATGTGTAATATTTTTTGCGTCATTACTTTTTTTTTTGCAGGAAGTCACCATTATGTCGTACGTCTACACCAACTCGTTTGATGCCCAAAAACCTGTGATCACTGCAAGTCAGTAAATGGTTATTAGAAGAAGTATAAAATTTTAAAATGAGAAAACATGCTATGTTAAATATCGACATTGTAATGATATATTATAAATAATGAGTTGATACAGAAGTTTTATTGCAAATAGTCAGAGTATAAAACAAAACATTACCAATTTTCATTTCATGTATTTAATCTATTATTTACACTCAGTTAAGCTCATATCTCTCAAGAAATTGCCTTCTTAATCCTTTCCAGTCAGGTTTCCGTCCAGGCCATAGCACTACCACAGCCCTAGCCCATATTACGGATGACATTAGGTCGGGCATGGAGGAAGGCAGGCTTACGGTCTTTGCTTTACTAGACTTCAGCAACGCCTTTAACAATGTGGATTTTGATGTGTTGTTGGGTATATTGTGCTCTCTTAACATATCTCCATCGGCAATTGACTGGTTTCGTAGTTACCTGTATGGTCGCCAGCAGCGTGCTTGTATCGAAAATGTGTACTCCTCTTGGCGCACAACATCTGCGGGCGTACCTCAGGGCGGCGTGTTATCACCGTTACTTTTTGCAGTTTTTATTAACTCAATCACAAATCAATTACTTTCTTCCTACCATCTTTTTGCAGATGATCTCCAAATTTACTCACAAGGTACTCCAGATAATTTAACAGAAACAGTGGATACCATTAACAGGGACTTAGTTCGAATATGTAACTGGAGTACGGAGTACTCAGTGTAAACCCTACGAAAACACAAGTCATTATAGTAGGTCCCAGGCTCCAATGTAAAGTAAACCTTCAGCAGATACCACCTATATCCTGCAACGGTTCGGTTGTCCCATATAGTGAAAAAGTTAAAAACTTGGGGATCTATATAGATAGGTACCTGTCCTGGGGTCCTCAGATTGGAGAAGTTAGTCGCAAACTATTTGCAGCGGCGGGATCTCTGCGAAGGCTACGCAACTTCCTTCCTACCAATACCAAAATTGCGCTCGCACAATCTCTTCTTCTTCCCATCCTTGACTATGGCGATGTCAGCTACCTGGATCTCACCGAAGACCAACTGAATAAACTTGAGCGACTCCAAAACCTCTGTATTAGATTCATATTTGGTTTACGCAAGTATGATCACATCTCAGAGTATCGTTCCAAACTCAAGTGGCTACCAATACGCCTTCGCCGGAATCTCCATATTCTTTCTCTTTTATACAGTGTTCTGTTTCATCCTCACACACCCTCTTATCTCAAAAAACGTTTTGAGTTCCTACACACCACACATTGCAGGGACCTGAGGTCATCGGAGAATTTAAAACTAAAAATGCCAAAACATTCCACCTAGTTTGCAGATAAATCTTTCACTGTGCAAGCAGTAAGACTCTGGAACAACTTGCCTGAAACAATCCGACAAGCTAAAACTTTGCCTGTTTTTAAAAAAATATTAAGAGATTTTTATCTGTCATTATAAATACTGTTCTGATTCCCTATTTAATATATTATATATTCCAAATATGTATGGGTATATGTGTATGTATGTATGTGTATTTGTATATGTGTAATGTCCATAGATGTATATTTGTGTATGAATGTGTTTGTTTATGTTTGTAAATATTTTTAAATATTCACGTGATATTGTGTTACGTGTATGTATACTAAGCTAAATTGTTAAATACCTAAAATCCATGATAAGGTTGTCTGGAAGAGATCGCTGTGAGCGATAAGACCGCCGATTGTTACTTTTACCTATTTGTAACTCATCTTTTGTTTTGTTTTTTTTTTTTCTATTAGTGTACCTATACAATAAAGATATAATAAATAAAATAAATAAATTAATCATCATATTACTTGTTTTGCTCACATTGTATTACTATAACTTAACAAATATTAAGAAAATAATCATCAACAACTTTTAATGGTCTACTGCTGGACATAGGCCTCTCCTTAAATAAATGTTTTTAAAGTCAATTTCGAAAGTGATCTATTCGTTTTACAACAGATGAATACTAGACAAAATACTGAAAATAAGTAAATGACAGGTTGCGATTCGATAACAAAGTGTAAGAAAACACGGGCACCTGAGCAACTTATGGTCATCTGGTTGACACAATTAAGAGTTCATAAGCAGTTGACGTTAGGCTATTGTAGGAGGTGCCCGCGCTTTTGCAGGCAGGCGCTAGGAGGGGTCCGGATGTCATAATAATAGCTGTTCCCGGATTCCTCCCATTTTGGGCGCAGAGTGTGGTTTTAGTCCGTTTGATTCCAACACACCGCACCGCCGCAATACCCGGTAAGGTGACGGTCCGAAGGGGGTTACCACACGTAAAAAAAAGTGTAACCAATTTAGGTACAAGTACAAGCGACTGTATTATACTACTGAATCTTTAATATTAAGATAGTTCATCAAACTTACACACATACACTCACCCCTCATTCCCATTTGGGGTATGCAGAAACAAAAGATACAACATATAGCTTGTGCCACTCCCACATTCACCAAAGAAAGAGAAAATGGTGGAGTTGAACGTGGTCACCGTGACGATCGAGTAGATATGAAATAAACTTACACTAGGCGCTCCTATTAGGTCCTAGACGGGTTGCGGTGTCTTTTAACGAAACCCTTCTTCGGTACACTGCCGATCTGGTTCGTGTATGTCTTTCGAGGCCTGTCTACACCGGCTTACCCGATAATTAACCAGAAGTGCACGTCATTCATAGTCGTGAAAGAAAAGTGGCTAGCAATGAATTTAAGTATTTCTTGGAATGAAAGTTGGAGAGATTTGGACTCACAATTAAAAATGTTTGTCAGTGTTGTTTTAAATCAAAACCCAATCGAAATAGAAAAATGGCAAATTATGGTTAAATAATGTTAGTGACGATATTGTATTCCTACCTTTTTGAACTTTAAAAAAACTGATTTGAGAATTTTAACTTTAATTTATTTAAAAAAAGCGCTTGGCTTTTTAATTGTTGAAATTCATTCTTATTTTATTTTTAAACTTCACAGGAACATTTAACTTCTAAACGCAATTACCTCAGTTCTGTTAGAGTCATAGGCTTGGTTTTTCATTGTTCTGTTCACGCTATACCATATTCTCATAGCATGGAGTTGGTATTAAAAAAATAATGTCATTTGGACATTTGCATATAAACAATTATAAAACAATAATAATAAGTTTAACTTGAAAAATACAAGTAGTTTTAAATTGTTAGTTTTAATTTTTTGCCAAACACAAAAATGGTAGATCAGAGATACATAAAACAAGTTTTTTTAAATGCTCTCTTTCTATTCTCATGTTTGTCGTTATCTGGACATGTGATTATAAACTTCTGGGAACGATGGAGGATGCAAAATGAATTAATAAGTATGAAACGGGACCTGTACTCACTAACGGTAAAACTTTTGCCGTGTATTAATGTATGAATAAGTTATAGTTTTATATGGTTTCATAAATAATTTTAAAATTTACAGGAATCAATAACAAATTTAAAAAATCAGTACGACAATTTTGAATGTGAACTATCTGATGTACTGAAAATTGTTGATAACAAACAGACAAAAACCTGTGCGCAACATTCGGACAAACTTAAACAGGAGTTATATAGATGTAAGAATTAATGATATGAAACTTTGAAATACTTAGATACTTACCGTTAGCGTAGAACCCTGGCGAGAGGAAGGAAGGATAGAAAACCTCAGAGATGTTGGCAAGCAATAATACAAAACGATGTATCTACTACTCTATTATTATATTCTAAAAGCTATGTGAATTGATATAAGTGATCGATATGTGCTATGAAGATTTGTGAGTAGGTACTCGCAAATCTTCGGTACTTACATAGATATGTACGATATATTTAACATATTCGCACCCTCGGTGCAACAAAGTCACAAGTAGGCAAAATTGCCAAAATGACTTAAGTATGCCAAATTGACTATAAACCATTTCTTCGTTTGGGAAATCAAAGACAGCCGCGAAAGTATTTGAATATATCGATAGATGGCATTAGTGCCTTTGTGGTTCTTGCTACTTTTTCAACGAATATTGGGAGAACAGAGTATGATTGGTAAGTAGTGACCCCGCGCCCGCATGAGTCAGTCGTGACTTGAGCTATACCAGCTTAAAGGTATTAATGACAATTTTTATTCACGTATATTGAAAAAACAAAGTGCTATTACAACGCTCAAATAATTAAATTATATTTGTACCTGGTGCGACAAAGTCACAAGTTACGACTTTTTTTTTGTTTCCTTTTTTTTTCAATTTTCTAATAAAATCAAAGAAATCTTTTTACATTATACTGTAGTTAAAAGAACAAATAATATAATTTTAATGAGATATCGCGGCTGCTGTAGGTAGTAATCTAGAAAAAAGGAAAATTGATCGAAAACAAACTTAAAAGTCCGTTCCTGTAAAATTACAAAATGACCTGTTATGACTTTGTTGCACCGAGGGTGCGAATTATGTTTATCTTACGTACTCGCAAATCTTCTTACGATCATCACAGTGACATAGGGCGTCATTATACACGTAATTTATTCGTGTTTGTAAGAATGGCTTGAAGAATATGCAACGAATGTACCAGCAATGTACTTGAATGTATCTTTAATGCAATTTAATGTAACTCCATGAATAAGAGACGCAGTCAGCATCCTGACAGTCAGAATGACAGATGAATACTGATAATGAATGTAATAAATATACTATGGTTACCTACTAATTATTAGGTAACCACAAGATATCTACTGGTAATTACCAGTGGCATGTACCTTCAATGTACCTCATAACAATATAAATAAAAAATATAATGGGACGAGTAATTAATTAGTAAGAAAATCTAGAAAACTAATTATGACGCCTACCATTTTTTATAACAAAACGAGTATAGTTTTAATCGCTCGTATTGAGGATCATTGGAGGAGGAGGATTATTCATATCTAAATTGTCACTTTCATGATCATATTCTTGTTAGTAAGACTGCCTCGGTGGTGCAATGGTAGCGTTTGCGACTGCTGTGCTGAGGTCTCGGGTTCGATACCCGAGTCGAACCAAATGTTTGTTTAATCATCAAATATTTGTTTCGGAGTTTGGGTGTTTGTTATGTATAATATGCATGTATTTACAAATAAAAGGTATATAAGTATTCTATCAGTCAATCTAGCTTTCATAATAGCTCTGCTTAGTTTGAAACTAAATGGCGTTGTGTGTCAGATGTCCGAAAATACTATTAAATTATTATTATTAAATATTAAATTAAATTCTTGAAAGGAAAATTAATGTTTTTATTCTTACTACCCTGGACTACGGCTCACTTTATTTTTATAATTTTTTCTGTTCCATGAAGGTACATCGAATTTCATTAAAGGTGCATTCAAGTACACTGCTGGTACAATCCTTTTATTTATAACATATTTATTTTCGCAACAGTACACCTGTCACTCTGATCTACACATTTATTCAACTGTTCTACTATGGTTACACCACTCCCACATTCTAAGCACGCCACTCTTTCTTGCAAAATCATTAACCGTTTTCACCACAGCTAAGCTAAATCATGATCCTATGAAAGGTTTAATGCTTTTAGTAAGAGAGTGATTACTTTGGGTGGGTTATAATGGATGCAAAGAACAATGCAATTTTGTTCAAAAAATTATAAAATAAAGTAATGTATTTTTATCGCGTTCTAGGACCTACAGCACCAGGTCCGCTTAATTTGAATCTAGTCTAATGTGTTACATTGTAATTAATTACTGTCTCACTTGTGCAATTTAAAAAAATCATTAAAACTGGAAGTTGGCCCGCTCTTCTGTAGATTTTCAGTCGTTCGAAATAATGTGACTATGAATATTTTACTTGGGCATAGCTAAAATTATTTTGTCGTAGTAGTTTTTTTTCCTCAGGCTTCGCTCGTGTCAAAACCCTTTTCTATCGTTCAGTAACAAAGTTTTGCATAATTTTTTACCTTGAGTACTTTAGCATTATAATATTAAGAGGAAAACTTTAGGTACTGACTGTTCGGTACCGATTTTGAGATACCGAACAGTCAGTACCTAAAGTACCACCACAAACAATAATTACTTCTACATAAACCATTCAAAGTTTCTTTCTGAAACTATGGCAAGCTAAAAATTAAGGAAGCGAAAAACGCAATAGGCATCATAGATTTTATAAGTAATATTACTTGAACGAATATTGATTTTATTCATTTATTTTATTTAAAACCTAATACACATGTGTGCAAAAGGCGGAATTAATGCCGCGGAAGGTGCAAAGGAAAAATATTAGTCGTAGTTAATAATAATAGTAGACGAGCCCATGATGCTAAATGGGGATTTACTCGAGCGTCATTAGGACCTATTGCATTTGAAAGATTAGGTAATAGAATGAATTAGAAAAATCCTCTTTAAAAAAGGTTGAACCGACTTCAAACAATTCTAACAAAGAGCACTAAAACCCGAGCAGCAATCGCGGTTGATTTGTTGTCATTTTTTGAAGAGTTCCGTTGTCTGTCTCAAAAACTCAACGTCAGATCTATATGAAATCTAAATGGAACCATTTCGTAATAATCTCCTTTCGAACAAAAAAAATTGAAAAGCCGCCTACATATGACAGAGTTATGCCCGAAAAAAAAAAAAAAAAACATCGGAATTGATAACCTGCTCCTTTTTGAAGTCGGTTAATAAAAGTTTTATATTATTTCCACTTTCAACGGTGGGAAAAGCTTCTACAGGTTTTTATAAAACGTAAGAGAAGAAAATCGAAAAAAAATGTTCCCATTGAAAGGTCTGACGATTTAAAACTGATACAAGCTACAAAAAAACTTGACCCAGCGCACGAATGTCAAGGTCATGTATTTTTTGAAACTTTGTGACCCTCCCACCACCTTATGTCACGCCGAAATCGTCAGAAATTTTAAAATAATCTCTTTCGGTATGTAATTACCTCAACTTCCCTTAATCTTACACGATTGAATATTTCTGACCATCGTTTTTTTTAATCTGATGGGCTGCCCTAGACGCTCGATATACAGGCTCATGTATGAGCAGAGGTACTCAACTTGGTGTAAGGTAGTCCTGCTTATGTTATCTGCCACAGTAAGAGTAATAAGTAGGAGCACGAGACAGAAGCGGCCACGCTCGAGTTAATATCCGAAATTCCTTCTAGGTCTCCTCCCTTACTATTATTATTGAGCAGTAGCTTCTCTATTATGGTCAAACCCAGAAATTTTAGCAGTCAGTGTAGGCTAGAGCATATTTATAGGATGCTGATAAAAAGGCCCAAAGACTGAAGGCCTTGGATCTCTAGGTTTAATGTACGTAATAAATACCTAATGATCATCCAATATGTACCTACTTTTACTTTTAAGTTGCACTTAAAATTTCCAGATATCGTCTAAAGCCAGGAAAAAGAATTCAAATGAAGAAAGCAATCGCAAGAATGTGTACATTGTTTTTATTAAATATAATATTGATACATCAAACATTGTTTAACTTTAATCTTGATTAACGACGATTGGTTGAAGTGTACTTGGGACGATAGACTTTTTCGAACATTTAGAACATTTCATGTAACTTTTGCTGTTATTTTTTCCTTCGTCCAATATAGTCTTTTTGAGTAGTTCATCGAGGTTGGACAGTGTCAACGGTAACTTTGGATCCCAACCCATTTCTTTTTGTACTGCGGTGTTTGCAAATGCTTCCAAAATGCTAATTTGCGATTCTAACTTCGGCAGCTCTTGTGATAAACGTGATATTTTCGTGTGTAAATCGTAGTATTTGTCTTGCATTGTATATACCTTTTTCTGTAACAATAGACATAATTCTAATGTTAATGTGAAAACAATCAGTCTTAGTTTTACAAAAATATATCTGGATAATCACAGATATTGGTTAAAGGATTTTATTAAAAAATGTTTTAAAATAGACTAACTAATTTTAATACTCATCTAAATGAAGAGACGTGTGTGATAAAAATCACTCCTAAAAACTACTAACAAATCTTAAACATATTTTGTGTATCATCTATCATATCTATCATTAAAAATTTGCTTTTAAAGTGGAAATTCAATGCTTAAAACAAATACAGATAAATAATTTTGAAAACCAAGTGTAAGTGTGAAGTCCACAGTTTAGAATATTATAATGTTTATACATATGTAGTATAAGTGTGTATGTAGTATAAGTGCAGTGAAAAATCCATCACGTGAATCATCACGTACATTTTGTGAAAATATTACTAATGTGTTTATAAGACTGACGATGACTTTGTATTATATACAACATATAGATATATATCAGAGGCCCGGAATAAGACTGAAAATGCTATAAATAGTTTAATAATTCTATTGGACCAGTTGGGTTCGGACTTATCAATAAGCAAATCTAAATATTGTATCTTTAGTAGAAGAATTAAGAGAGAACAAACACAATTAGTGAATAACTAAGTATTTGGAGGTTTGGTTTGACAAGAAATTACTTTGGGGTAAACACATTCGAAATCACAGAAAAAGTTCAGGACCTAATTAATTTACTGAAAAATGAAATTCTAGCAGATCCTTCTTGGGACATACATTCATTTAAGTAGGTTGTACATTGCATTAGTCAGAAGTATATCGAAGATAAAAGTGCAAAATCAAACATTTATAAGCTAGTAAAAGTCCAAAACCAAGCTCTAAGAGTAAAAGGGGGGGGGGTGTCATTAGAACAATTCCAATTCACGTGATGGGAGTGTGAGCTCTGTGTTTTTCCACTGACCTTAAGAAGATGGTTGGCATACAAATATTGTCTAAAATGTCGGTCATTATCAGATAACATAACAATTAAATTACTCTCAGAACTAAGTGATTTAAGACACACCAGTTATTGGTCTAATAAGAGGTTTGCATTATTTGTCAGTATTCTTGAGGAGATTAAGTGAGCCAATTAAATCATCCCCCCTCTTGGAAACTCTAGACACTTGGGTAACCAATATTAATATTCAAAATGTAATAAAATCTAATTTAGACGCAATTTAAAATTCTAAAAAGAAATATGACCTAAATCTAATTAAAAATTTAACTTTAAGGGAAATATATGAAACTTATCGTGATAATTTTATAATTTACACTGATGGGTCTAAGAGTACTAATGCCGGAGGCGCGGCTTTCTATGATCCTTTGAAATCGAAAACCACTACTAACACTTATTTTAAATTACTAATTATGTATCAAAATCGATATAGAAGCCCAAAATCGGTCTAAGTGGCGTGCAATGGGAGAGGCCTATGTCCAGCAGTGGACTGCGATAGGCTGATAATGATGAATTATGTATTAATCATGACATTGGAACTCTTTGCAATTTCAAAAGCCCTCACTTATATCGAGTCGAGTGGCAATAAGAAAATACTAATATGCGTAGATAGTCAAAGTGCTCTTCGACACATAGCTTGATGCGCCTTTGGCTACAGCGGAGCACCGATAGCTTATGACATTCTTTGTAAAATAAGCAGCTTTAATAATAGAGGGATTGATCTGAAATTGCAATGGGTGCCAGCTTACATAGGCTTAAAAGGTAACGAGGAGGTTGATCGATTGGCTGAGTTAGGTATCATAAGTGTTACAGAAAGAAATATCAAAATTAATTATGAAGAATTATTACCTAAATATAAAAAAGTGTCATGAAATTTGGAAAGAATTCAAGAGAAAAGGGAATATGGTAAAAGACTATAGCATCGGAGCCTCCTCATATACCATGGCTTTCCAACACCGGACTGAGTAGAAAAATCACTGTAATCGCCCACAGGTTGAGATCTGGACATATTTCTCTCAATGGTTTTGGTTTTCTGATGAAAAAACTGAATTCACAGAACTGTGAGGTTTGTGGTACTTTAGAGGATGGGACACACTTATTGACGGAGTGTGTCAGATTTCAATCTGAAATCTGATGAAAGAGTTAAATATAAATAGTAATCATTTTGGTATGTTCCACCACATATTGTCTGCGCCGACTTCAAAATCCGCCTCTAGCCTTCGTAAGGTTGTATTACTAAGGTTTATTTAAATTTAATTAAATTGTAATGTAACAATCTAAATGAGGTACAATGGGACTGACATGTACGAATGTATAAAGTCCCTAACAATAAATAAAGGGGAAAAGAAATAATGTCAGTTCTCCAAAAGAGTCCTGTCGTACTTCATGGTCTAATACAATAAGTTTAGAAACAGGTGATGAATCTGAGAGCCTTTAATGATACAGTAGAGAGAGTAGTAAAGTTAATATAAGATTTCCATTTAAAATCACTGTGGAAGAGAAACAAAGCGATATTTTATTTACTACGTGGCGTACAGGAACATAAACCTGTATACCCCTTTTCTGTGCGTAACTCCCCTAGGATACCACCCACCAGTGGGTGATTATGTCGGACTCGAACCCACCCAAAACCGCACGCCGTCTTCAGGTGCAGTAGCCGGGGAACCAGGTATACCCTAGAAAGGAAAGCCCTAGTACCCCGACGTACCTCAGGCCAACTACGGCTTATAGATGACCCCACCTAAACCTGTATACCCTGACTGTGAAAAGTTGAATAAGTAACGTTCTTATAATAATAAACATTAAGCGAAAGTATCTTATAAGTACTCGTATTAAATAAATAAATGATGTATTACACACACATACATATTTCTTTACTAAATGAAAACTATGTTACGAAATGTCCTGAACATTCTTTATACTTAGAAATATTTTCATACAAGTTTGACTGCAAGTCGGCACGGGTTATCGTTATCCGAAAACAATAGTATTTTTTATTTTAGTTATTAGGGTTAATTAGAAAAAAATATAAAGGGTATGCGTACTTAAAATCGAAAATGAATTTTTGTCCTTATAGGCTGGGACACCCTATTGGACAATAGTCCAGTAGTACAATCGAGTTCTTACGAGAGCACGAACAAGCAGAGGAGCACTTGCTCGTAAGTAACTACCAACTCCTATGGACACCAGTAACCTAAGAGTCAGAAGTGCGTCGTCAGACCTTTAGATGGTATGAATCCAGTCGAGCCCACCTAAATGTGTTTAAGCCTGGCTCTCTTACCGTTAACATTAATAAAATAAAGTTACGCTATGTGTTCATAAACAATAATTCTAACTTATGAGACCAAGTTTTTTTTATTTGTATGTTATTTACGCTTTCTCGTCTACCTACTAAACAGTTTGCATTCATAATAAAATATTCATCACAAATTTAATACAAAGGAAGCCGCGGGGGGCAGCTGCTGTGATATTAATTGTGTATTAGCCTCGGTGAATAGAAAGATCTTAAAATATCATCAAAAATCTCGACTAAATTTAGCTTTGCCTACGAATTCCTTAAAATAACTTGTAGTAATTCTTTTTTATATTTACCTTAGTTAGTTTAATGGTGCTGTTTTTTTTTTAAGGCGTTTACGATTTTTGGACCCGTTGCAATCATCGGTTTCCAAAGCTTAACGTTTTTTATTTTGAGAATAGGTTCTTTTGAAAGGCTATAGCATATTGTTTTAAATTTATTGGGTGTCCAAAGTGAGGCGACGTGTTGTGCAAGAGTCCCCTTCGAGGTTGTCTGTAACCAAACCTCTGTGTCAAATAAAGTGAGTAGACAAGTAAGAATTGTTGAGCCAGCGTTGAGTTTTGGAACACCGATGAGAGATGTGGATGAGGTTTGTCAAGATCTTTTTTATAAAAACGGAATTTAGACATATCAGGTAGAAATTGGTAGGAGACAAGCACAGGTCTAAGGTCAGTAGTCACTATACTAATATTGTCAAATAACTATTAAACGTTTCGTGTTTTTTGTGATATATAAATAATGTATGTATAAGGGAATTAACGTGATCAAGTTATAGGTATATATCACAGGGTTCCCCGGTCGCAAGCTTTTAAAGTTAGGGTTCTAGTGAAAAGCCTGTATTCCACTATATGCCTCCTATTTATTACAACGATTCAACTGGTCCCGATTTCAGATTGCTCACTTCACTTACTAAATTCATTATTATCATTACTTTGTCTTCACTTCGGCAATCTAGTGTCTACAATCTGCCTACAATACTATACAGCAAATACTAATTGCTGTAAAAATTGATATTGCTGATATAAGCAATTGTTTAGACATAGCCCCAATATCTGACCCTTGGCGCCTATGAAAATTGTATATTTAGATGTTTATTAGATAAATTACCGATATTTGTTCAACAGTCTTCACTAGAGCAGTCGCATCAACTTTAGAACAAGAGTAGCAGTGATAGTCCAGCATCAGGTAAATGATTCCAATGAGACTTGATAATATCAAGAAGCTGGTGACGCTATTGGTGAAACACCACTGCCGCGGGGACTGCTGGTCACACGAATGGTTTGGCACAGAAAGAGATGCGAAAGTGTCACTTCTCCTTCTACGCCCTCTCCTTCGAGGATAATCCATTTTTATATTTTCTTTTTTTTTTCTTTAAAATGTCATAACCTTGGAAAAGCCACTTTTTAAATTTAATGTAACCGTGACACTGTGTAATTAAGTTTAAATTTCATAATCCATCTGCAATAAAATCTGTTTCCGGCTGTTCGGATTTTGCTATTCTGAACAATTAGTGTATGACAAGTATATTCTTTTCTGCTATATTCCTAAATATCTCGTAAGAAAATAAAGCCAGTATTATTTTATATTTTGTATTAAAGCGCCATCTAGTTATCCTAATTTGTACTACTGTTTACTGAGGTTACATCACCGAAGTTCACTGAGTGTTTTGTTTCGTGATTTCGTTAAAAAGCCATAGAATTTCGATAGATGGCATAATTCGAAATGTTTTTCAATGATTAGAACCTTTTTGAGTACTAAGATACAAGTCTCAAACGGGCGGATCAATCTTGTTTCTTAACCGATTTCAAAAACACAAGAGAGGAGGTTATCGATTCGTCTGTATTTTTTTTAAGCTAAATTGATCAACCCTCTCTTGAATAATTCTCTTCTCTTCTTAAAAATATTTTATACCGTTCGAAAGTTATCAACTCTTTTCTAATTTTTAAACGGATTCAATATTATATTTTTTAAATTTATAATTGTAAGTAACTCAATTAAGTTGACACGCCCAACTTTTCTACGTAGTCATTTATGAACCGATTTAGAAAATTCCTCCCGCTTTGGAAGCCCTAAATTCCAGCCCTAAGGGTGGAACATTAGAAAAAAGAATACAGTTTACGAGTATTACATTTAAACACAATGAAGGCGCATTGAAGTCGGTCCTGAAGTCCCCGGTCAGGTGAGTTACACCGAACTGAGAGGTTTGATTGTGACTGTGCAACTATGTACGTACTTTTACCTTATAAAAATATTTTTTTCTGGTTATGTACGTTTAAACATGGTGAAGGAATACAATGTTTAATTTTACCTTACTTAAAACAAGAATAGATACTGCTTCGAGCCACACGGTGCAGACATGAGGTGAAGAAGAAAAATTGTTAAGAAGTAATATATTTCTAAGTCTGCATTATGAAGTATTAAAGATCCCTGTTGTAAACATTGGTCCTTGATAATTATTTCATGCTTAGTGAGTTGCAGGACATTTACATATTATAGTATAGTTGAATTAAAATATAAATACGTGAAGATTACCTGCTCATTACTGTTTCAACTGGTTTCCTTTTGCTTGTTTAGTAATTTACAAAAAAATGTACTGGTTGTTTAAAAGGTATACTTCTTATTCAGAACCAAAAATAAATTTCTCCCCTACCTTTGATAGAGATTTTTTTACCCATAATGTATTTGTCTCACGTTCTTAACAAATTCGAGTTTCTAATTTTTGAAAATGTATCTTTGGGCTACCAATGGTTATTATAATGTTCTATTCAATGTATGACTATGTTATTCACTTAAATACTGATATAAGACAAAGACTCTTACAGAAGAAAGGGACTCTTTTTAATACACTGTCTGTAAAAACATATCATTCGTGCTTGCATCCTATCCGAAATAGAAGTTTAAGTCCTAATAGCCTTATCTCTTCACTGGTGTAAAGCTGCTAAAGGTATATTAATTATAATTAATCCACTACAAGTTGGCTTACTAAACTTTACATCTGGCATCACATAAGATCGGTTTTAAAACCTCCATCGGGCGTTTGAAAATCTTCTAATATATCCATAAAAACATGCGATAATTGGGTAAACTGGAGTTAGAACACTTTTTGCCTCGCACAACCAATCTATGGAACAAATTATCGTCTGCGGTATTTCCGGACCGAAGCGACCTTCAAGAAAATATCATACTCGTTTGGCAACGCCCTTCTAACTCCTGAGTTGCAGGCTTTCATGGGTGGCGGTAGCCGCTTTCCATCAGATAAACCATCTGGTCGTCTTCCATAAAATAAAGTTTCAGATCCAAATTAGTGTAACGTGGTCCTTAAATTTTATTTTCAATTATGTATCTTACCAGTGCACTCTGTGTTACTAGTTTTTAAATAAAACTTAAGTAATTAATACAAATTTATTGATTCATAATGATCTCATCGCATTATTGTGGTTTAATGCAATAGGGGAAATACTCCTTCGTTACTTCGGGTGCTTCTACACGAAGCAAGTAACTTGCGCAGGTTATTTGCTTCGCTAAAAGGACTATACGGGTCCAGCGACTCGAGCATATACCAGCGCGAGCTACTTGAGCAGATAACCGCTCCGAAGCACCCTGGTACTTAACTGTGTCAAGTCTGAAACGAGCAAGACGCATACATGTAATCAGCGCAAGTAGCTTGCACTTTATATTAACCAAACATGCAAGTAACTCGTACATGCTACCTACTGGCGCAAAAAATCGGCGCCTTGTACCTGCAGCTACTTGTACCGTGTAGAAGCACCCTTAGTGACCTAGATAAAACTTCAAATCAGTTTTAAATCTACACCATAGACTTACCGCTAAGCCAGAGGTCATGGGTTCGATTCCCATCCAGACAAATAATTGTGTTATGAGCAGGATCATTAATTTGTTCTGTATGTGGGTGTAATTTATCTATGGTATTTAGAAGTATATAAGTAGTTATGTTTATCAGCAGTATGGTTACCATAGTACAGACTCTGCCTTGTTTGGAATTAGACAGTCATGTGTGAATACTGAAGATATTATTCATTATGTCGAGTCATCAAAAAAGCGGGTCAGTCCATACAGAATTTTAGCAGATCATTGGTATGAAACGCTTGTTACCACACATCACATTCATAGACGCGGTCCCTAATAGATTACGGTCACTGTTATTTTAATGATAAAGTCTGAATTAGATAGACATATGTAGTGCATGTAGTATACAGCCTTTTACCTCACGGACATCGTCAAACGACGGCGATCATGCACCACTGAGCCAGTCATTCTGAAACCACTGGTGTAATTCAAAGTCTTGTAATATCTTTTATGTGATCAATTTTTTTTCCGTTAAAATGATTGTTTGTATGCTTTATGTTGAACAAAAGAATTTCATAAAACAATTTAGTTTCGAACAAACTTGTAGTTATAAGGAAGATTATGTCAATCTTCCTTCCTTTATCTTATTAAGCAGGAATATTATAATAGTTATGACGATTACTGAGCACAAAGCGTACTATTGTTCCTTCAGTTCCATTCGACCAGAAACAATAAGGTAATTTATTACGAAACGTGTATATGCGTGAAACGTGTAACGACGATAACGTCGTTGTGACTAATTATTCGAATATATAAAATAATAAATAGTATATTTTACTGGTATATCACCCTCAAAATTTTTATTGCACTAAAATGCTAAAATAATTTACCGGCTTGATAATAAGTTTAGTTTACCGTTAAGAGAATTAAGGGTTCTTTCGTTGCAAAGGACTACCGCAAAACTAGGTGGTCTGGTGGTTAATAAAGTCATCAGAATCACCGCCAGATGTTGGGTTCCCATAGTATCACAAAGACTATTTACTAATTAAATTTATTTTTAATATATCAACATAGTATATTACACTAGAGAGAGGTTCATGTTGAGCAGTGGACTGCAATAGGCTGATGATGATTATGATATTACACTATAGTAGCATTAACTCTAGTTTTAAACAATAAAACGTAAAGGGATACCTAGATCCAAGGTTAATCTAACTACCTAAAAGAATTAATAAAAATGTATTCTATGATCGGAATAGCACAAAATGGATAGAGATATCCATTTTATGTTATTTTGATCATAGAATACGTTTACATTTTGTTATTTTATCTTGTTGTTCTCCGTGTGGTGACGGATTAAGAATACGAGTGTGTTTCCCCCTATTCATCCCGTGGGTGTCGTAACACGTGATGATGATGAAAGGTAAATTACTTGTTAAGATTATTTACTTAACTAATAAGTTAATTATTTTTTATTTATTTCCAAAATGTAAGTAGGTACATGTATATAAATGCCTTACTTTGTTAACATTTTTTTAATAAAGTGTTTAGAAGAAAGAGATAAGATGTTTAATCAAGTAGTAAACAGTTATTGCATAGTTAAACGACAATAAACCGTAAGTATCTTTAGTATGATTGCTTGTGAAAACCGGCAAAATTGTAATAAAAAAAAACATTCGCTCCTTTCAGTCTCTTAATAACTAATCAATTAGATGGATAATTATTAATTATAAAACTTTATATTTATTGCCATTTACAGTTAGTCTGGGGCTGAAACTTCAGCATTTCCTATTCACTAAGTTCCAAGATGTGCTTAATTGAGAATTGTGTTTGATATTAATAATTATATATTGAAAAGCTCTTTACAAGTTGTAAATGTACATTGGCTCATCATCATCAGCCTTTAGCCGTAGTCCACTGCTAGACATAGGCCTCTAAATAGAAAGGAGGTTTTGGCTAACTATATCTTGCAGGCCAGACGGGTGGTATAAGGTTTGTTTGGAGTTTTCCTTTTCACTCTCTTGTTACATATTGACTATATGCGTAAAACAAAGTATGCCTCAAATCGATTACAATACGAGTCATACACAAGGCTGATCATAGATGTGATAGCTAATACTTTAATAAAAAAAACAACTGTATTGCGGATCACTATTATAACTAGACACAATTAACTTTTTAACGCCCGTTTAAAAAAAGAATTTTTCAAATCTGTGGTAACACCGAAGCGAAAAAGGAGCCAGAGAAAAAAGGAAAACCTTTAGTCAGTTTAAAAGTAAAATACCCTAAAGTGGGGTTATTTGGATATCACGAGGTTATTTGGAATTTGCAAAATAAAAGATTACGTCGTGTGTATTGTTTTTAATCTGGGAATAGTAGAAAATATATTTTGCCACTTGGCGACACAATTTGAATTTTGCGGATAATTGGCCGTAAAATATTTTCATTAAATAGCCCCTGTAGAGCTTGCACATATTACTATAGGTTTAATTCATCGAATCAAATGCCCCAAACGCTAATTTTAACTCAGTTAAGGGTAA